CCGAAAGAGACGTTAAACTACCCCGCGTCCGGAATGACGTCTAAACTATCGGACCTGCATGTCTTAAAACTGTGAAAAGATAAGAAGGCAGGGGAAGTACCTGACCATTTTAGTCCTAGGTTCAAATGATGGTACGAATCAAGGACAACAGCGGGCATAATTCCACGTACAGCCTACGGCGGAACCTTTCACATCCTCGCTGTCAAGGAGTTAATCTGACAGATGCATCGAGCGTCCCATTTGGATCCTCAGTTTTACAGGGTTTTTTCCGCATTAGGGAACCCTCTACATGACATATACTCTACTCGTAGGTGTCGACAAGCAGGCCCTTTGCCTTGGTACAGCGAAGTGCCCATACATAACCGGTTGCAAGTCCGAGTCAAGAAATTATGATGCATAACTCGTAACGTGAACCCTCACAGTCAAGGTCTGACTGGTGTTTTGGGACGTCCCACTTTGGATCTCCCGTTTTACAGGATCGTTTCCGCATTAGGGGATCCTACAGCTGGCGCATGAGATGATGTAGAGAGCGGGCCGCCTCTACCTCACAAGTCTTCCTAATGATGCGAGGCCACAAATTACATCTGGAACGATGTAAAACTACCAAAGGCTCGGTCCACAATGACTATAAACTACTAGGGTCCGCAATGACGTTAAACTAGTCTTCGTCCGAAACGACGGAAAACTATCCGCGTCCGAGATGACGTTAAACTACCATTGACCCAAGGAGCGTGGTTGCATTCTGGTGAAGCGCGGATTTTGGGAGAACTACCGCATCGCAGAACCCTGCCTATAAGAGGTCGAAGCGCTTCCGATATTCACTCGCTTTTCGGTAAAAGAATATCGGGTCGACTTGGTTCAAATCCAAGCGAGGGGTCTGAGGACATGGAAGAGCAAGCATCTCTTCATGGAGCGCTCAGTCTAGTCCTGGAGTCGAAGTACAAGAAATTCCGCTCCAAGACCTAGTCAGGAGGCAACTAGGACACGTGCCTCGAGTCGAAGATCTAGTAGGAAGGGACTAGATCATGTGACTCTCGTCTGGCTCACATAGCGGAAGAACGACAAGAGCGGGCCACTCATCCAAAGTCTATTCCGCCACAGCATCCGAAACGATGTAAAACTATCCTCGTCCGCGACGACGTAAAACTAGGTCTCGTCCGCGACGACGTAAAACTAGGTCTCGTCCGCAACGACGATAAACTACGAAGCGTCCGGGACGACGTTAAACTAAGCATCGTTTTTCCACAATATTTGTGGCGAAACGACGTCCGCGATGACGCTAAACTATTGTCCCTTTCCACATAGGGATTGTTCGAGGCCAATAGCATCGACGTCCGCAACGACGGGAAACTACGGGCATCCGCAACGATGTAAAACTACCGTCCCTTCGTTCTAGGGATTGTGCGTGGCGATCTTGACAAGATACCATGCGTCCGCAACGACGTTAAACTAGTGCCCCTGAACCTAGGGGTTGTCATTGACGTCCAATCCCCTGGACACTAATGCGTCCGCAATGACGTTAAACTACTTGCTCCCGATCGCATGGGAGTTGTGATTCACCACTCTGGTGCTGAATCGTCCGCAATGACACAAAACTATTTGCTCCTTACCATATAGGAGTTGTGGATTGACCGCCATGGTGTCAATCGGTCCGCAATGACACTAAACTACGTGCTCCTTACCGAATAGGAGTTGTGGTTGTTGACCAAGACCATGGTCATCAACCGTCCGAGATGACGTTAAACTATTCGTCCCTTTTAGCATAGGGATCATCGGTCGACATCATCCTTGACGAGAATGTGTCGACAGTGTCCGAAATGACATTAAACTACCCTCATCCTCGGAGGAAAAGCCTATCGTGACTCAAGGGACATAGTCAGACGATAGCTCGCCTAATGCACGGCGTTAAACTGCAGGTCCGCCTACCTCACGGCGTTAAACTGAGCGGTCTCATAACATTGAGGCGTTACAAGTTATCCGGTTTGATATAGTATAAACCGTTCCCATCATGCCTCAGGGGAAACCTGCGGGATAAAAGTCTGGTCTAGGGCCCTATGCACACAACCGATGGAAATTCCGGCGTGCAGAAACATCTTTCCCCACAGATATTCCATGATGATGATGAAGCAGGTCCGAAATGACCTAGAAAGTAAACTACTGGGAGGCGCAAAGCGCCTTAATGACGTCCGCAAAGACGTTAAACTACGGATCGTCCGAAACGACGATAAACTACGGACCGTCCTGCATGACGTTTTAAACTGCCAGTCGTGGATATATCTCGCACCCCGACCAATATATCAGCTGTGGTCTTAATGTCTAATTCGTGCAAGCGAACGGGCAGACCCGGAAAAGGAGTCAGACTCCTCCTTATTCCTCGCTGCACCCTTCAAGTCTAATTCTCTTCACATCCTTGCCTCGAACCCAACACTACACGTGGTATTCCCCACCATAGGCCCACGTTTGTGAAAAACAAACTCTGGACGCCGTAAACTGCCTCACCGGAGATGAGTCCACCGTATGGGGACAATACTGCTTGGGATTTTGATTGGGCGCCCTCACCGGAGATGAGCTCACCGTATGGGAGCAATACTGCTTGGCCATTCGACTCATGCTTAGGCATGGTACAAGGTGGTCTGGAGAAGTAGGCCTAAGCCTTTGTAAAGCGATCAACCTACTTGTCCATGGACGCCGCCGGTCGCCATTGAGGAAACAACAAAATCATGAGGATAGACGACTATCCTGGAAACACTGAGGTTTGGCCCTCGGAGAAGGAAGAAGAAGAACCTGATGACACGAATCGGAACCCACACGCTAGAGTTTCTATTCATCCACACACCACTCGCATTCATACGCCTTTCTTGCTACTATTCCAGAGGAGGCTGGAGTAAGACCATGGCGCATTTTCCCATGGCAAAATAAACCTTACGGGTGAAGGAACAACATCCTACCGAGCGGAGGTTTGGAACCCTCGCGCCTCGACAACAAACAAACAGCTCAACGGAGATGGAAAACTCCTAGAGGATCAAACGACGTAAGTCGGTCTTCCTCCCAGAAAACGAAGTCATGTCTCGGAAGTCGCATCCGGAGACCATCGTTGGATCAAGAAAGCAAATCGTATATGGAGTGGCGATGAAGCGCACAGCGCTGTCCTACCAGGCGAATAGGACGTAGAAAGGGGGTATTGTTATGATCATGTTCTGTCGGGCCTTAATGGCGGTCTATACCGACACGATCATCACAAATATCAAGCGGCCTCACAAGGAGAGGCGTACAAACAAGGTACAGATAGTAACCTTGGTCATCCACTCCCAACGGATCACCTTATCGTTGGTCGAGTATCACGGGCCTATTGTGTAGCGGGCATGGAACACCGCCTTACAAACTACTCACACATCGGGCATTGAGCTCCTAGTCGTTCCTGGCCGGAAGGAGACTAACGGAGAAACACAAGAGTAGTCGTTATTGAGAGAGACGACTTAGAGTATACCTATGGATACATATATGGTATTCTCACGCCCTACTTCCTAAAGTAGTATAAAAGGCCCATAGAGTAGGCTGAGGTTCTTCAGTCTATTCTCTTCGTTCATTGTGGTCTTCCTACCACAGCACCTTCGTTCACTGTGGTCTTCCTACCACAGTACTTCGCTCTCCTGTATCTCCACATACAGGAATCTTCGTTCTACTGCAGTCATCCTACTGCAGCCTTCATTGCTATATCGCAATACACTTCTGGCTCCTGTGCTACACGTGCAGTCGAGACCATCGTTCCACACATCCTCCACGAGTGACCTAGGGAAGAACCTCCTACTCTTGGGGTTACCGACGAGCAGTCGTAACACCGGATAGGGCGATTGTTGTGACGGAGTTGGTTATTGATACGTCTAGTGCCGGGTGGATATTCCTGGCCTAGGTCTTGCTCCAGAGTGTGTGCAGTAACGCTTTCTCAATGGGGGTCTATATCCCCACTGAGCAAGGTTATGAGAGAGGGTGTGGCAGCAAGCTAGTGCGAGCAAGGTAGGGGCAGAAGAGTCTATTCTAGTGTTACGACTGCTCGTCGGTAACCCCAAGAGTAGGAGGTTCTTCCCTAGGTCACTCGTGGAGGATGTGTGGAACGGTGGTCTCGACTGTACGTGTAGCACAGGAGCCAGAAGTGTATTGCGATGTAGCAATGAAGACTGTAGTAGGAAGACTACAGTGAATGAGGGTGCTGTGGTAGGAAGACCACAACGAACGAAGAGAATAGACTGAAGAACCTCAGCCTACTCTATGGGCCTTTTATACTACTTTAGGAAGTAGGGCGTGAGAATACCATATATGTATCCGTAGGTATACTCTAAGTCGTCTCTCTCAATAACGACTACTCTTGTGTTTCTCCGTTAGTCTCCTTCCGGCCAGGAACGACTAGGAGCTCAATGCCCGATGTGTGAGTAGTTTGTAAGGCGGCGTTCCATGCCCGCTACACAATAGGCCCGTGATACTCGACCAACGATAAGGTGATCCGTTGGGAGTGGATGACCAAGGTTACTATCTGTACCTTGTTTGTATGCCTCTCCTTGTGAGGCCGCTTGATATTTGTGATGATCGTGTCGGTATAGACCGCCGTTAAGGCCCGACAGAACATGATCATAACAGTATGCCTTATCTATAGCAAGACCTATAATTTGATTCTAGAACTTGCTGTTCTTGAGCATGTCTCAGAAGTGCCATATGTTAAGCTGTTCTTGTGAAAGAAAAATCAGTGTGGCCTGTGTTTCTGCTATAGCCCACAGATTATTGCTGTGCTTCTAAGTAGCATGGGCTGTATCTTTATTGATTATAACCATTACTAGCCTGTTTTTTGATGTAGAGTTTGCCTGCAATCAGTTTGGTTTTTCAATTAGACACTGTTAGTTACATACCATGTCCTCCTCAAGGCTCTTTATAGGGCAGATAACAATTATGATAGGATTGTTGGTAATGTAGAAGCCTTTTGGCTAGTACTATACATGCTCTGAAAGGACTTAGCATCCTAGAATTAAAATACAAAATAGCTGACTCTTACTGTCACCCATGGCTGTGATAGCAAAGACATCAGTGCCATCCAAGAGCTGGCAAATGTACTGGATCTGGAAGCCATGCAGTTCCTTGGACTTTTGGCAAAGGAGATACCAAACAAGGGCATTTCCGGACGGTGTAGTGAAGGACTCGATGCAGCAACGGTGGGACGGGAGCTGATCGACGATAGTAAACCGCTCCGGCGGTGCTTTAGTGGTCATCTAAAGGACGACGACGCGTCGTTTGACGCGTTGAATAGAGCGCGTTAATTGGTCACATGATGTTTACAAATGTTCACACGGGGACCATCAATTGAGGCTTGCGGTTGGATACAGACTACTGACGGGCTGGTGTCGGACCGGTCACTTTGTTATCAGCTACCTTCATGACTTCGATTGGCTTCTATTCCGTGCTTGGTTTGATTGTCGCTGCACTTTGTGGAGGCTTGGAGGACTTGTGAGGACAATGTGAATTGGGAGACTTGAGCAGCAGCCGATACTCATTGCTCATCGATGACTGTTGAGAGCTGGTGAGTCGACTACGTCACTTCATCTCTCGATATATTTCAGTCTTTTTCTTGCACGCTTTTGGTTCCAATCACAAGTGTATCGTAACTCACAATTTGATTTGCACAATTCAATGACTATGTACCATGATGTGGACGTTGTGTAATTTCACTACCCCAGTCTACTCCAAACAACGTTCGCTCCTGGTGAGCCGCGATTCGAATGTCGCGTGCTTTTCGTCTTCTATTGGACGGGCATCTTGGCTTGCTTCTTCGCCCAGCATCCACATACGCATTCTAGGCTCCATTTCTGTCGTCAGATTTCCGATCAATGCTGAGACCTTCCGTAAACGCCTCATGCTTTGGCTTTTGTTCAAATCACAACATAGTACAAATCTACTTATTCACATTCAATGATCCATATGCTGATGTTTGATTTCTCTACACAGGGTCAATGGTATTCTTTTGGACACAAAAAAAGATACAATCCGCATGGAAGCCGGTCCTCGTTTTCTGGGGATCCTCGAAGGGACATCACATGATGCCCCAAGTGATCTAGACGCGATCGTTTGAAACGTCATTGAGCGCCCAGCCATCGCTCAAATAGACGTGCTTACGGCCATCTCATGTTCGACTTTCCTCTTGTCCCACTCCGGAGGTTAGCCAAGCTTTCCAGATTCACGACGGTTTGCCCATCATGCTTCGACTTGAAAACCTGGCGATGGTATTCTACCTCACTCAGGCAGCACATGCGATTCCACAAATCTTGAGCTCTCCAATATCTGTTTCCGTGGTGTCCGCGTCTTCGATATTTCGTACGGCATCCACTGCTTCGAGTTCGCTGACCAGTGTTAGTGCCCCTTCCAACACGGTGACGACAGTCGTGGCCAGCCCCACCGCTCCATTATCAGCAGTTTTGCCATCGCAAGTTTCGCTGCCTCCACATCAAGCATGGTGCCCTAGCGAAATATTCTGCGCAGGAGCAGTGCGTCTTTCTGCTCATGCAAACGACACCTAACCTCAACTTCATTGCCTGTAGCTTCTGCAGACCGTCAATATTGCTGGCCTTTATTCCGATCCCAAGACGTTTGTGGATAAACCTACGAACGGTTCATCTCAAGCTGTGCTCTCGGCCTTTAGCGCAATAAACTCCACAAATGTCACTGAGGGCGCCGTGTTGAACTTTGTCGATACTAACTTCAAAGGCGAGGGTGGTGAATTGGAGGCGCTTACACTTACAAACTTCAACCCCGCACCGGCGTTTTTGAGTAATGTCACGTCACCACTACTCAAGGCGTGGTCGCAAACTGTACATGGGTACTGGACACAACTCATCCGCGGAACCAATCAGTCCGCCTTGTGCTCGGAGGGAAATGGTACCACATGTGAAAGCTCTTTAATTCCGCTCAATCACACATTCGTTGTGCCTGGAGGGCGATTTCGCGAGCAATGTGAGTGACTGATTTGCTTTTACTTTCAGCACCTCATAGTCAAATACTGCAGACTACTGGGATAGCTTTTGGATTATCGAAGGTTTGCTCAAATCTGAGTTGTATGATATTGTGAATGCAACGTTGCAAAACTTTATGGACGAGATCGAGACTATTGGGTTTATTCCTAATGGTGGACGAATTTATTGTAAGATCATGAAGATCTCATGTGCCAACGTCCTCTGATATGTCACAAATATAGATTTGAATCGCTCCCAACCGCCGTTGTTCATTCAGGTATGATTGATAATGTTACACATCGGTTTCTTTGTTGAAATTTATCTGCAGATGTTATCTAATTACGTTGCTGCATCTAACGATATTTCAATTCTTGAACGTGCATTGCCCTTGGCAGAGGTAAGCTGCGTGCGTGCACGGTAAAGACTGGGTGTTGACTAAATCGTCAGCGCGAATTGGCCTGGTGGAGAAACAATCGCTCGTTGAACGTTACTAGCCCTTTCACGAACAAAACTTACGAAATGGCTCGCTACGCGGTGACCAACACCGCGCCAAGACCTGAGTCATACCTTACCGGTAGGTGCACCTAAGCTTCATCTTATACGGATATTATTGAAGTATCGTGTTTAGACTACAACACAGCAAACGATCCTGATACGACTTCATTCAACGAAACGCAACGATCAGATCTGTATTCTGAACTCGCCAGCGGCGCTGAGACGGGTTCGTCGACGCTATGTGAAAATTGTTGCTGTCAAGTAATATTCTATAGGGTGGGATTATACTGCTCGTTTTCTCGCACAACCACTCGCTGGTGGCAGCAATAACACTAACCTTGCCCTGCGGACGCTCAACGTGAAGAACACAATACCCATTTGTTTGAACAGTATCCTCTGTAATGCTCCCTCTCTTTGCCACCACTAATCGCGCGCTAAATTTCACACCGCTCGCTCTAGATAAGGCCAACTTAGCACTAGCTGACCTTTACACATCGAATAACTCGTCCAACAACACTGTAGCTGCTCAGCATCGCAGAACAGCTACAAGCATTCGCGAAGGCATCATTGACCTATTCTGGGATGCTACCAAGCTCGCCTTTTACGACTTCAATTTGACCTCCAACCGACGAAATAGCATCTTCACTGCGGCGAACTTCTACCCACTCTGGGTCGGAATCATCCCTGAAGATATCTTGAACAGCTCAAGCAACGCGTTCGGGCATTTTGCGTCGCTGAATATGGTCTTGAACAGGTACAACGGTACATTCCCCACCACATTCCTCGAGACGGGCCTACAGTGGGACGCGCCGAACGCATGGCCTCCGCACCAGTATATCGCGCTTGAGGCCCTGAGGGCGTTGCCTGCGAACCTCACTATCTCGACATTACCTGCGGCGCCTGGCAATGAATCAACATTTGTACTCGTCCCGAGCGGTCAGCTTGGTTTCGACGAAGGTTCTCTCCCTGGTCAGCCGTTGAGCCTCGGGAAGAACGCAACGAAGACGGGCCCCGGCGCAGACATCAACAGGATGAACGGTACGGTAGTCAATGGAGGGAACGCCACGGAAGGAGAGGGCTGGCGCGACGTTCTTGCGCGTGAGTTGGCAAACCGCTATTTCTCGAGCGCATTCTGTAGCTGGTGCGTGTCTTGGTTATCGCACCACAAGGCCATGTACTTATACGGCGGAGCTGAAACCGACAGGTACTCCACCGGAGGTTCCATTCCGAGCATGTTGCCACGGCTTTCTGATCAGGCGCTCAACGTCAGCAACAGTGTCAACAACACTGGAAACGTGAGTATCGCCTTGCGAGTCACTGTAAGTCCGCCACGATTGATCTCGGGGCACAGATGTTCGAAAAGTTTTCGTACACGGATATAGATCAGGCTGGCAGCGGCGGAGAATACACTGTACAGGTACGTAAATGATTCTGAGAGTGTCACCGACATCCTGACGAATCATACGACATGCTGATAATGTACTAGGCTGGCTTTGGATGGACCAATGGCGTTGTGCTATGGGTCGCGAGTAACTTTGGACAGCAGCTCGTTGTGCCGAACTGTCCCAATCCTCTGTTAGAGGCAACGAGCACAGGTGGGTCACCAACGAGCTCCAGCTCAGGTTCAAGCGTCTCCCCAACAAGTAGCTTGGGCACTACATACAATGGCAACTCCCAAACAAATAGCGCGAGACGCGATGGCCTGGCTATCGGCACTGCGATCATTCTTGCGATTCTGTCAGCCATAGCATCATTGTGAGGTGGAATGTATCCTGAATGACTGCAGGATAGTGACGGCGGAGGGTGCGATCGCATGTACCATTGCTTATTTTGCTTGTGAAGACTCGTTGGACGTCAGTCCCTGTGAGTGATAGCTCTGATGAGACACTGAGACTTCAATTCCAACGTAAGGATGTTAGCATTCGTCAGCTCTGGTGACCTCAATAGAGATAAACACTGCCTGAACCTTTGTTCAGTATCCTATAGTCACTACCTCAATATAATCTTTTCCACGTTTCGATGCGTTGCGGCGAAAAGAGCCACAGGGACTCCTCAAGTCGTCAAGGAGCGCCACAAGCGCTAGAAATGGTGAATTCCCAAAAAGGCAACCCAGGCGTTGCGCGCTTCCTGGAACAGCAAGCTCTGGTTGTTCCATCGTTGTGGTCGAATGTATTGGCCTTTGAGTCGCATAACATTCCATCAATCTTCATCACACCCTGCATTTTGAAACCATGCAAACGCTACAAGCCTCTGCGACTTGCAGAATAGCAACGCTGGCTACGAGGGGTGAAGCTTGTCTATATTCGTGAGCCTTCCATGAATATACATTTGTGATCTGTACCATTCTTCATCCTGTGCACATTTCGAGGGTGCTCACGTCTTCGGTACTCGTTCGCTTTCCAGCCCTTCTCACCGCCATTTTTTGAGGTGCTTTTGCGAGCTTTGGGGCCTGCTGCAAGACACCGAAGCGATTGATGACAAGATCTATACTTGTGCATTCTGATACGTCTAGTTTATCTGTTCGCTTTCGACCTCGCTGGTGTACCATACGCAACTCTTGTCCTCCGAGAGCATTGCTTGTCGGGAACGTCACGCAAGCGATGTCCGTGCATATATGGAAGCCTGCTCAACTTTATTGCCAATCCAGCGCTACTAGACTTGATGGCGGACGCGAAGAACATTGGGAGATGTCTCCGACGCTCGTGATAATCGGCTCGCTGTTAAGTTCTATGGATTCATACCAATGTCAATCTGGCGGCTATAAATACGAGGCTAGGTAATGCAATTACGGCACGGCCCTCTCGCGTCTTTTTCTTTTGGCTCGCAATTTCAGAGTACCATGGTGCAGCTGCGAACCGTGGCAGCCATCTTGGCCTCTCAGGCAGTGGCCTCTCTCGCTACCCCTATGATTCCTTTCCTATCGCCTGCGCCCACCATCCGCCTCGATGACGCAACATTCTCCGGCTTCACAAGTGGCAAGACCGAACAGTTTCTCGGAATTCCGTTTGCATACCCACCGTAAGTGCCCACGGCGAATGTTTGTCTGAGTCTTGATCAATGGTTTTCCAGGACTGGAGACCGTCGGTTCCGTCTCCCGGAGCCTCTCCTGCCATATCAAGGTTTACAGAAAGCGACTGCGTTTGGGCCTTCATGCCCTCAGCAGCCCATGGTTCTTCCCAGCTGGGTCAATAGTGCCTTATCAAAGGTCCTCAATTCAATCGTCAGCACGATGTATAAAGCTGTGACACCTGAAAGCGAAGACTGTGAGTACATGTAGATCCCCTTCGCAAGAACCGCCTAACGCTCGTGAATACAGGTCTCACCATCAACGTTGTCAAACCTACAAATGCCAACCCTAACTCTAAGCTTCCAGTGGTCGTAGTACGTGAATTGGCGATACATAAGACGGATGCAGCTCTGATCAGTCTCACTCACCTTTTAGTGGTTTTTCGGAGGTCTGTCTGCATTATGCAGCGCTTTTTTTTAAATCTGACACGTTCATATAGGTGGTTTCGAGATTGGTGGTACCGCTACGTGAGTCTTAATAAACAAATCTCTCAGTTCAGAAGTTAAGGGATCCCTAGGTATGATGGAGGAGGGGTTGTTCAGCGCTCCATCGATCTTAAACAACCTATCATTTTCGTTAGCATGAACTATCGGTAAGTCATACAAGTCAGCGCGCATGCCGTATGCTGATTCAGACTCGTCATAGTCTCACCGGTAAGCACAAAGCAATTTTCTTGCAGCATTTGATCAATACATTTTGACACCACTCAAGCTCTTGGTTTCCTTCCCGGAAAAGAGGTCAAGGAGGCCGGCGTTGGCAACTTGGGTCTTCAAGATCGTGAGTCTCGAGTCGATATATGTCTATGGCCACTGTTAACTTTTACACATCATCTAGAACGCCTTGCATTACGATGGGTTAGAAAATATATCCAACAGTTCGGCGGCGACCCTGACAAGGTCACGATGTCAGTTGTAGCAATAGGTCTTATCAGTCTGTTTCACTGACGAACGATCTCTCGATTCAGCTGGGGAGAAAGCGCAGGCGCAATCTCTGTTTCTCTGCAGATGATCACCAATGGAGGGAACAGCGAAGGGTTGTTCCGTGGGGCTATTATGCAATCTGGTGGACCAATTCCGGTTGGCGATATCACACATGGACAGAATTACTACGATGACATCGTGATGCGAACCGGCTGCGAGCGCAGCAAGGACACTCTACAATGCCTTCGCGAAGTCCCATTCACCACACTCAAAGGCGCCATTGACCAATCGCCCAACTTCTTTGCCTATCAGGTACGATATTCTCCAAGGAACGAGTGCCTTGTTCGCATTGTTTGCTCAAATGCAATGGTAGGGATTGGTTCTGGCCTGGCTTCCCCGTGTCGACGGGGTATTCTTGACGGCTCCACCGCAGCATTTGGTTCTTCAGGGCAGCGTTGCAAATGTGCCCTTCATCTCAGGTACGTTCAAGCGATTCAGATCCCAGCTTTGTCAAACACAATCTCCACTCAGGCAACTGCGACGACGAGGGTTCACTGTTCTCCATCTCCACCATCAATCTCACGTTAGAGCATTCCCCTTCCATGTCCAAACATGTACCTCACTGACATCCTCGTATACAATCCACAGCACAACTCGGGATACGCATGAATATCTCAAAACATACATGCTTCCGTCTGCAACTGATGATCAGCTCGACCTCATGCTCCGACACTACCCTGATGACCCTCGCCAGGGCTGTCCCTTCGACACAGGCCTTGAGAATGCCATTAGTCCCCAATTCAAACGTGTTGCTGCGATACAGGGAGACGTCGTATTCCATGGCCCGCGGCGATTCTTCTTGAAGAACCTGGCGAATAAGCAGAAGGCATGGGCCTTCGGTGCGTGTCCCGCGTCGGCTTGACCTTGATTTGGCTCACGGGAATTCTTCAGTGAGCAAGCGAGCGAAGGATACCCCCTTCGTTGGATCTGTGTGTTCCTTTCTTTCTATATTATGGAACAATCAGGTGCTAACTAGTGTCAGGCTCATGCGACGGATCTGCTCAACTCTTTCGGAATCGGCGAAATGAAGGACTATGTGATTCGATTCACTAACAACCTCGATCCCAACGGACAAACGGGTTTGGGAATTCCATGGCCGCAATACGACCTCTCGAAGCCGAAGGCCTTGATTTTCCAGGACAGCTCTTTCTTCCCGCTGAAGATCGCAGATGACAACTACAGAGAGAAACCTCTCGAGTTTGCGATCAATATGTCCTTGATTCACCCTATTTAACATAGCACCGCGGCCGTTCTACTACTTGGTCTGCCTCCCCCAACGAGCTGTCTATTTTGATCGATTTGTGACTTTTCCTTGCAGCATAAGTATTGTAAATCTTAACTAACCATCTCATTTTCAAAATATCTGTGGCTCCAGCTTTTTACGGCATGTGTAGAATGCCAAGCGTGGGGATGCAATGAGACAGCAGCTCTCTTGCGGGTCTTTCCCAAGAGAAGACCTCATGAACATGTCACTTGACATGTCCGAGATGTCCGAGAGATGAGAGACTTGCGCTCCAAAAACGAGTGCCGAGCAGTTCAGTGTTTGATGAGACTGCCCAAACCCAACGTGGGAACACATCTGCACCCGCGACCACTACAACCTCGTGCTACTGACCTTACACAGAAGATAGTCGCTCTGTGTATCTTACTTATGCTCTATCGGGTTGACCTGATGTCGTCTTGGGACTTGCTGATGCGAACAGACTGCGGATAGGGGCCTGAGCCGATCTCACTTGTTCCTGCTTGATCTCCTCCGATTCTTCTGGGCTAGTGCAACACGTAACTAAGCAAGGTAAACAGTTGGCGACAATTTGGCGACATACTTGGGTGGGTTTCGAGACCTGCAGTGCTTGTTCATGTTTCATGATCCAAATCCAACACATTGCATGCGATGTGTCAGGGACATAGATGCCTGAAGTGATGAACCACAAGGCTCCACCCGGTCCCGCCGTCCGCGTCACCGCAGGTCACCGCCCATGAATTTCCGGCTTTCGTCGTGTTCCCAGCTTCAAGATTTCGAAGCCGATGCGGCCGGCTGACACCTTCGACGTCAGTATCGCGGCTTTAGGTCACCGGATAAACGGCTACTGGGAATTCGCAGTCCACATATATATTCGAAGGCTCCTCACAGTTTCATGGATCGTCTGCCTCGTGCTGTGACCCTCCTCACCGCTCGTATCGATCACACATGCAGCTATCTGCGACTGCGCTTCTGACAGCGCTCTGTCTGGTCATTGATGCGTCCCTAGGCGTCGAGGGCCTCAAGATACCAGCCAGAGACACCGCTGCTGCAACACAACCTACAGTGCGTCTGGACAACGGCGCGTTCGTTGGCACCGTAAATGGGAGCGTCAAGCGTTTCTTGGGCATTCCATTCGCGCTACCACCGTGCGTGTATTTTTGCTGGAGGACGCAGCATTGAATTACAGCGGTGTTGATTACCGCAGCACGGGAAATCGACGATTCCGTCGTCCTGCGGCAAATCGGCCGTACTCGGGAACTCACAACGCATCAGCGTTCGGCCCTTCGTGTCCTCAACAAGCATCTCCTGCCGTCATCCCAGATCCGGTCATAGCACAAGTCTTCAACTCGCTTTCATCGTCATCCGTCAATAATACGCAGGCCGAGGACTGTGCGTAGAAGTTTCTGGGCGTTAGATCAATGTTCTGACCAAAAATGTAGGTCTTAGCCTCAACATCTGGGCTCCCGCAAATGCTACGCGAGGAGAGAAGCTTCCGGTGCTTGTGGTACGATAGTTGATTTCACATAGTTTATCAGAAGTAGACTGAACTTTGTCGCAGTGGATCTATGGAGGTGCATACATTTGGCCAACTCATGTTTTGTATTAATCACATCCGATATGCAGGTGGTTTTGAGAACGGACAAACGGCAGGGTGAGATTGGTTGACAAACGTCAATTAATTACAACACTCAGCTTCATCTGTCTAAAGGTTTGATGGTGGTGTCGTGGTGCAAAGGGCGCTGAATTTGGGCTTGCCCATGATTTATGTGAGCATGAATTACCGGTAAGCACGTTTTTACTTCGACAAAGCACCTTCTGACTGGCATACCTCACAGCCTGTCACGTATGTTGCTAGCTTTACAACCGTCTAAAATGTCTTCTCGATGTTTATTCTCCTTGATGACAGTCTTCGGCTTTCTCGGGGGTAAAGAAGTCAAGCAAGCTGGTGTAGGCAATCTTGGTCTTCACGATCGTAAGTGCAGTCCACTTCGACGTTCATATAATGCAAGCTCATTCTATGTTGCGTCGCAGAACGCCAAGCACTGCGTTGGATACAAAGGTACATCAGCGCCTTCGGTGGCGACACTAACAAAGTCACAATGTAAGTATATGTTCTCTGGCATTCGTCAAACACTGAATCTCATTTTCTCTTTTAGATGGGGCGAGAGCGCTGGAGCGATTTCTGTTGCCTCTCATATGGTCGCGTACGGAGGGAACACCCAAGGTCTATTCCATGGCGCAGTCATGCAATCAGGATCGCCTATTCCTACCGGTGATATAACTACCAACCAACCTCATTACGATGCTGTGGTCAATGAGACCGGCTGTGCCGGTGCTGCGGATACGCTGCAGTGCCTCAGAGGGGTTTCTTTCGCCTCGTTGCAAGCTGCCGCGAATAAGAGCCCAGGTCTATTTACTCCTCAGGTATGTCAAGCAATCTACAGGTACATAGTAGTACTCATGACTGTTTCCGCTTCAGTCGCTGAACCTGGAATGGTTGCCTCTTGTGGACGGTGACATTTTCACGGAAGATCCTCAGGTTCTTGTCCAAAAAGGAAGCGTTGCAAATATACCCTTCATAACAGGTATGGGAGCAGTCTCGTTTGAGACTGTAGGGATATTGACTGTGCTTCCTGCGTTTCAGGAGACTGCGACGACGAAGGGACTCTGTTCACGCTTGCGCTAACGAACCTCACGTAGGTTTTTGCTGAACGAAAAAATATCTTTGCTGACCGTACATCCCTTGTTTAGCACTAACAACCAAACTCGCAATTATCTGCGCTCAAATTATCTTCCCAGTGCTTCGGATGCACAAGTGGACCAAGTCCTCAAGCTCTATCCTGAAGACCCCATAGTAGGCTCGCCATTCGATACGGGCATCGCGAATGCTGTGACCCCTCAATACAAGAGACTCGCGGCATTCCAGGGCGACTTGGTCTTCCAAGCTCCCCGTCGGTTCCTCCTCGAACAGCGCTCCGGAAAACAGAACGCATGGTCATTCCGTGAGCATCCTTTCCATACGGTATTTTAACATGGAGTTGAAACTTTGCTAGTATTCAAGCGCGGTAAATTGACACCAGTTTTGGGAACTGTACGTCTTTCAAGTGCCCGTTCAATGTTTTATCTGATTTCTCATCGCAAATTGCCGTCTGCTTCAGTATCACAGCTCGGACCTGTCTGGAATCTATGATTCTGTCGACGGAAACGAACTGAAGGAGTACATCATCCGTTTTGCTGTCAACTTCGACCCGAATGGTGGGAAGAACCTTAAGTGGCCAAAATACACGCCCGACTCACCCCAGCTGATGACCTTGCTGGACGGGCTTATACCCCTCACGCTCACAAACGATACCTTCCGGAAGGAGCCTATGGACTTCGTCACGCAATTGTCGCTGGAGTTCCCTCTACGATAGGAAGCGCACAGGAGTCTTCTTCGCTATACTGGTATCTGCTTCATCTGCCCCGAGTGCGCATGTCAATAACGAGGATAAATACGTTCAAACTTTTGGGTCATCAGCGTAGGCTCAAACTGCCTTCGAGTTTGCGTGCACATCGCAGACTGGGTGCGATGTCGTAGCTCCCGGGCTTTATCTTCAACGTCTTGATCAGCATGATATTCTCAACATTGAACGTTAATTGTCCACAGTATTACATCTGGCAATCCCAAACGTAACTCCGGAGGGTTATAAATCCTGGCTGAGTCGATTCGAAGAAGACAAACTGATGCGGAAAGAGCGCTCGTGGAGATCGTCATTTCCATCCATGTGCTTGTGCATTTGCCAAGCGACCCTTGCTCCAAGGGCTGCAGTACCAGACTGAACTCTACGAAGTGCAAAATCGGCCGTTAACCAGACCTTGGACGATGATATTACAACTGGTCTGCAGAATGAGTACATGGCAACACTTCGACACTGGTCAATGCTGAGCACGAACGAAGTCGGGCATCTGATCCCACCAAGAATCTGCCAGTTCGTCACTGGTGACGCCGCTTATAAGATACTGTGCAGGGTCTGCAAACAATGCAGTTTAGGACGGTAGCATCTGCTGAAGATGAGTATCAGACCCGCAAGCCTTCTTGTGTGTGGGCCAAGCGGAGCGCTGGCACTTCGAGCTACAGCACACCGACTGAACGACACGAAACCAGTCTTCAGTAGGTCGACTCCTGACAACGACGGGAAATGAACTGACGATGTGACACCCACTGCATTGCCGGAAGCGGAACTTGTCGTCTGCACCCTCTTCAACGTTATCACACTCCTCTGCTCCGCAAACTCGGATCAGGGCTCCATTCCCGTACCCGATCTTTGCAGCACGTTCGACTTCGAAACTCGAGCGCGGAAATTCACCCATGGCAATGTACTCGTCGACGATGGCGTTCCACTTCTGTTGAAGTTCATGCGCTAGATGCTTGCTGAACCTCCTGCCGGCGGGTCTATCGTGCAAGATAAATGGTCAGTGAAGTATGACTTCGATCGAATAGGAAGGCTGACCGAGGTATGATGAGCGGATCAATATGTTTGAGCACGTACAGGAATGCAGGCTCGAGCAAGCCGCACGATGCCATTCCTGTCATATTGCTCAAGCACCATTCCTTCATATCGTAGCTTTGCGATGGGCTCAAGGAGAATCCAAAATCGACATGTCTATCAAATCTGATGTCTCTTGCGCCATAAAGGTTTGAACAAACTTTGGAAAGGGTTCAGGAGCGCGATAGTGCACGATACACTGCGAGCCCTGGTTCCACTTCTACATTATAAAGGCCGAGCGTGCATGGCAGCATCGGCGATACGACTTGTTGGAGCCACAGGCACAGAGAAACTTCAGTGGGTATTCCTGCTCGACGATATGGGAATCCTGAAGGAGCTTTCTCTACCGGCACGGACAAAGTCGAGGAGGACGAGTAGTGGATGCAGTCGATTGTATCAGAGTGGCTAATCATTCTTTGTCTGCATTTGTCTCGAAGGCTGAAAAACACGTCTCCGTCGATTTTGCGCCATGCATCAGAGGGAGCTTGATAAGGACCCAGTTTTGCGTGAAGCAAGCGTACTCGAATGTCGTGTTATCTGCGTAGCTTCCGTTCACGTCGGTATGCTGCTCGACAAGGGCACGTGCAACCAAAATATGGCGCAAAATAGCCCTTTTCAGCTCGGTACTCGGTCGCTGTGCAGTAGAGATGGGAGGCAGCCACTTAGAAAATGGGCGTTTGTGTAATGCCATCTGGGCGGCGACATAGCAGAGAGGGGTCAAGCCGTCTTTGTCGCCTTTATCAATTGTCGAGCCTAACCTGATCAACTCCGACACCCAGAGGACATCACTGGTTGCAGCGGCAAGATGAAGAAGGGTGCGTTTGAGGTCGAATGACAGGGATCCCAGTCCTGACTCTGGTCCGAAGGCAGTATAATAATCACGGGAACACGGCGTTGTCCAGTTATTGCATGCGACACGATGCTCTTGCGCCGTTTTGCTGAACACTCGAGAGGAAAAACCGCGCATACACGAGGCATCCAATATGTTCTTTACATATTCATCGGGAAGAAGTGGTCGTTTAACGACAGAATCCATATGGAGGGACGTGAAGACCAGCAACGCTGCGAGTGAATATGAGTTTGAATCAGACATTTAATGGACTTCTAGAGTTCCAGATTCCTACCGGGTTTCAGCTATTTTGAATGCGCCACAGATTGATAGTGGTCTGCATTGCAGAGTTAGGTGAGCATGCGATGAAGTGGTCGCGGCTTTGAAAACGGAGAAACCCGCATGAAGATGATGGCGATAGCTCAAACTGAGTACGCCACTGCAGGCAAAGAAACAAGGCTGGTTTCGGAATGATGCAATTTTCCCTAGAGAAATTCTCTGAGAACGTGGATAGCGATGGCACAGGTGAGGGTCAAGAGGAGGTGCGCGTTTGGTCCGACCCCAATCGCCCCGAGGGCACCCATATGAGCCTGACTCATCATGCGCACGGTCCAGGTATTTCGGTGCAGTAATCCGCTCCAGCGACAAGTGAGCCTCAATCAAGGCTTTTTGAGAAGGAAGCATGTTGGTCGGATCCACATAGGAATTTGTGCGCGGACAAAGCCGAACGGTGGCACGCGGTTCCACTAGTCACTTTCGCATTAAGAGTAGAGGTTCGAGAATACGGTGGCCCTCGTAGATGAGCAGATAAAGCGTCGATGTGGGGAGGTATATTGGGGAGATATGAGCAAACACGCATGGTCACTTTTTGAGACAGCGGCATCTGCTCGATTTGTTCGCTGCGTCCACATGCTTTCTTGTAAGCCGTCCAAGCAGAACGCTGATACTCGATACTACAGAAAACAACCTAGAGCACAAAGTAATCCATGCGGCGTTGATGGAAATATTCGCTCACGATGTGACGCTGGGACAGAAGTCTTCGCAATCTCTGATTAAAGCACTGTTCTTAAGACGACCGATCTTCGCGGTACATTCGATCTCAAATTTAAGCCGTTTATCCTTTCCTGGCGCCAAGGGTTTATCAACGGTTGCATTCTAATCCTGTTTAATGTTGGACCCAATGTACTTGCTCATATTCCTGCTGACAGGTCTGAGGCTACGCACAAGATAAGTCGAGCACATTTTCACCTCGAGAGAAAGCTTGACTCACCTAGGCTTTCCGTGACGGTTAGCCCTACCCGGACCTGCGCGGGCAAAGTCGCGGAAAACGAATGAAGAATGATGCTGATCCGATCAACGTAGCCAGACATTGGCTACGTGTATCTCAAGATACGAGACGCACAAATGCGCCGCCTGGGCGTCAGGTTCGTAAAGAAACTTGTGATCAGCAACCAGTTGTGCACAGAACAGGTGCCAAGTCTTGTGTTCCAGTGCATGTTCCTCGATGAGAATCTTGGCGACCTACCTCGACCTACCTGGGGCGCAGAGAAGATCTATTGACTCTATCTTTGGTTTGACAGCGATGGGAATTGGACTCGACGAAGCGGCGAGCAGGTTCCCTACGATACTCATCTCGTAAATAGCGAGACAGATATGGGTCATCGCATTCTGAACCAGTCGTACGCGGCAACAGCATCACCCTCCACAAAAGCGAAGTATAAATTCGTACGATTTGAGACAGGCCTAGGTGATCTGCGTCGAAGCCAAAAGTGACCAACACGTCGAGGACAGACAGATCGAGCCGATTTCTGCGACCGATGCTCTGACCGCATGTATCTTGAGCACAGCCGAAGAGAAGCCTCACTAAATGGTTCCCATGATCCTCGCACAGGAGTGGTTTCCATGTCGCAGATCGCATGTGGAAATGAGGTGTGGATGAGACAAGCGGCCAACATTTGCGTACCGAGTCTTTTCAAACACCGACTCACCGGCGGCCCGATACAGCCCGATACCTCCCGTTCCTTGTGGAGGGCACCCGGGATGTGAGGTTTGTATCTGTTGAAGTTCGTTAAAGTGCTTGATATTACCCGCCGGTCTAGCAATCGCTGCGAGTCCGATGTGTATGTGTCGATGCGCAGATGTCAGTTTTGTCATATTGACTATGTATTCGTTCATGACCCGCAGAATCTGATACAATTAGCTACTCATTGATCGAGTATGCAGCATGTCGCAAAAAGCCTATCACCGCATCCCCCAATCAAAAATGTTCAGGACGGAGTGCTTCTGACGGTTCAGCAACTAGAGCCTCCGTGAGAGAGGGCAAGGTGAAACCTGATGCTACGAGTACCCAAGCTTTCTGAGACGGCAGCATCTGTCCCATGTGGGTATCAGACCCGCATATTTTCTTATGCAGGGGCCAATCTGAGTGCTAACAATCGGCACTGCAATAAACAGACTGCAGCATTACTTTGTCAGTTGTTGCTCAACTTCACAGCAGCGCACATAGTAAAGTCGCCATGCTTACGATATGACACTTGCTGCATTGGCAGGCACGGGAGCTGTCATCTCCGCTGCTCTCGACGTTGGAGCATTGGGTTCCTTCGCAATTTCTGATCAAAGCTCCATTCCCGACTCCAATCTTTGCGGCACGTTCGATCTCGAATCTTGAGCGGTCATTGTTGCCCTCCGTGATGTATTGATCGACGGCGGCATTCCAATTTGTCTGAATTTGGAGGGAGATGTGCTTGCTAGACTTCCTGGTCTTGACTCTTATGAAGACTGAGATGCGATTATTCACCTGTGAATATTTGAATATTGATGCTGCCAGCGGAAGCAGATATAGTCGGACGCGCGTGTCTAGCAACTCTGTGTCTATCTTTTGAGCAATCTTTTAATCGGGATCCCTGTTGAGGCCTCCGGGGGGACGAAGAATGGGGATGAAGAATCACTCGTTCCGTCGGCGAGATGGGTTTCGTATCCGTGTCGCGCAACATTATTCAGGTGAGGTCAGGTGACTATCAGGTGATCCTGTCACTTTCAATTTCAGCGCGACGATCCGGCTCTGGCTTGCTTCCCTTCGTTTCGGGCTTTTGCGACAAAGCGTGTCTATAACAGTGCTCCGCACGCCAACACCAATTACGATGAGTCAAAGCCGTACATCTCAAGACCTGCAGCGCAACGCTTTCGTCTCTGTCCGGTGACCATCAGTCATCACAGTTTGTCCCACCTCATTGCTAGCATCGGAGCAACTCCTTCGCTATCGTAGTATTGAACCAGTGAGTAACTCACATCAAACAATGAATATCAGTCTTTTGTAATAATTATAGAAAAGTTCCTACTAATGCCAGCTCGCGACGAATGATGGGCCTTTTGGGTCGTGCCCTCACAAAGTCTCGTCCAAAACATGTAGTCGGGTTCGATTCCCATGAGATCACTGAAACACGATTCAATTCCTGCGAGGTTCACATGTCAATCAACATGCACTGATGTGTATACACGCCTCCCTTCCTGGTTCCATGCTGTAAGTTGTGTTGACTGCAGTGTCACTGCACAGCTCTCAACAATCAGGTCAGAAACGCGCGCAGGTCTTGAATAAACGAATGAACGCACGCTTCTTATTGATTTTCACAGCGCTGAATCCCTACTCTCTCGATGAGTAGGCTGACTATGTCTCCTCGACATAACCTTGTTGAGTCTCACCATGTCAACTTTGGGGTGCATGACTAGTATGGGCCTACATCCTGCGTTTCAAGCTATTTACATTGTTGACAGAAGGCGCACGGAAGCTACAGCAACACACCAACCATAGCGGGACAAAACCTTGCTTTGTGTTCATTTTAGTCTGTGAGCGAACCTTATACACACTTCGAAGCAACAAACCATAATTTATCAAGCTAACTGGCATGCCCTCATCATGCCTATGCCACCTATAGGATGTGTTTCGGATGCTGAGTTGCGGACGTGCGGACTCTCAACGACATCGCATTTCGCAAATTCCATGCTGTACAGTCATCCTATCTTAAGGTCATGCCAGTTCTCATTGACCGGTCTCCGCTCTAGCTCCCCAAAAGTTCTTTCCCCCCGCTGCACCTACTACGGATTGAACGCTGTCATTGGAGAAACAAACGCTGGTAGATTGACAACGCCACAGAACCCTTTGTTTGACCCCTTTTCCGTGGCGTTCCGAGCATGTGCGTCCCGCATGGCACGGCGACACGCCTGTTGATTCCTCCTTTCATAGGTAAGTTCTATACTCTGCGTGTAATTATTCTGCTGTCTGGTATCGAACGCTCACGTTGTGTTCTCACAGTGCCCTCGTCTGCGCCGAGCCTGCACAGGTTTTCGCGTAATAATCATTGTCGTGTAAGATATTGAAGGCATGAGATTGAATCTGACAGTCATTCGCTGACAGTATGGCCTGGCACCGAAGCCCTTCAACACCACGCTAGTTCATTTACAAGGTCAGTGACCTGAAACCCATGACGGCTACTGTCGAGCAGCGCAATACATTCCTGCAGTGAATTCATGCTCGAACATTGCTTACGGGAAAATTACTGACTCCGTGCCCGATGCTTATGTTACAAGAGTATCCTCACCTCCTGCTGACATATGGCGCACGTTGTTATTGTTGATTCTATATCAAAGATGAGACGAAGGTGCGTAGGGGTTTCATATATCTCGAGAACAATCTGAGCATTCCACTCATAGGGCTTATAGCTTCCAACTTTGCATCTTTCCAAGCAGTCTGCATTAGTCAGATTGGCTTGACTAGTCACGCTGTTTCATCAAATATCGTCAGCGTTAGCGAGATTATAATTGGAATGGCTCTTTGTGGCTTGTTGACGCTACTTACTAGAATGGGAGACCTTGCGCTTCCAAGTCGCATCTTCCGCAGGACTTTTAAATAGAACTTCAAAACCATTTTACCTACGTAAGGCTGGAAACATGGATTTGGGCCGTCTTACTGGGAGTGCACCCCTATTCTTGAAGCTGTCAGTTGGCCAATACTTGTCCGCCTTCGTAGAGGTATTTATACTGCGTCCGTGTGGATTGTATGGGAACCAACATCGTCCTCGTTGTGTACGTCCACTCAGCTGCGTCTTCAAGCCTGATGTCGCGTCTATCATATGCCGTCGTGGCCACTTTGGCTTTCGGTGTTGGACTGACCACTGCTGTCTCTACTGCAAGAGCAACTGGGCCAACAGTGCAGCTCGACAATGCGACCTTCGTGGGCGCCACAGTCGGCTCGGTGTCCAGATTCCTTGGCATACCATTCGCACAACCACCGTAGGTCCCATCTACATTCGAAGTAATAACTCATCGTCACGTTGCTATACGTGATCAGAACTGGGGACTTGCGATTTCGCTTACCGGAGCCAACGGAGCCATATACGGGAACTCAGAACGTGACGGCATTTGGTCCTGCATGCCCACAACAGAAAATTACTCTTCCTGTCACCAACGTTTTGGCTCAAACTTCCATCGACTTCATCGTGAACGAAGTTTGGAGTGCCATCACACCCTCGAGTGAGGACTGTAAGTATCTCTAGTGCACATGCTTGCTTACTATACTGATATGAAACACCACTTCAGGTCTCACACTCAATGTCGTCAAGCCAGCATCTGCGACGTCAAACTCGAAGCTCCCTGTAGTGGTGGTGAGTACTGATCACATCAGCGATTCTGCACTTTGGTCTTACCTTTTCGTCCCTAATTTCAGTGGATTTTCGGGGGCGAGTTCTTCCGTTTCTTTCTGCCAGTCACGCTCAAATTCCTTGTTTGCAGGCGGATTTGAAATAGGAGGGACATCAACGTAGGTGCTTTATCTCAAGAGGTGTTTTGATAACTCATCGTCGTTCTGTTATAGTTACGATGGAGGTGTCATTGTTCAGAAGTCGATCACCCTTGGAGAACCTGTCATTTATGTTAGCATGAATTATCGGTACGTTCTCTCTATGCAATCATGCCCAACTGACCTTCTCAACGTCGGTAAACAAAATACAGGGTCTCCGGTACGTGTAGACACGAATGATTATCTGCTAAACAAGAGCTTGAACACACCATTTCTATTTCAAGGTTTCGGCTTTCTTTCCAGTCAAGAAGTAAAGGACGCTGGGATTGGGAATCTTGGTCTTCAAGATCGTACGTCTCTCTGTTGTTGGTGGTCGATGCAACTGAAGTATGATCAATACTTAAATTTCAGAACGCGAAGCTTTACGATGGGTACAGAAATATATAGGAGCATTTGGCGGTGATCCCAGCAAAGTCACCATGTATGTTTCCAATGTTCTCTCTGGTCCATTCACGCCCACATTCTCAATTTTTACAGCTGGGGAGAAAGTGCCGGCGCAATCTCTGTCGCACTTCACATGGTGACAAACGGCGGAAATACTGAAGGGTTGTTCCGCGCTGCCTTCATGCAATCTGGCTCACCCATTCCTGTTGGCGACATCTCGCACGGCCAGAAGTATTACGATGCTATCGTGAATGAAACGGGATGTTCAGGAGCAGCTGACACTCTTCAATGCTTGCGCGATCTACCATACGCCACTCTCAAGGATGCCGTGGACAACTCGCCGATGATCTTTACCTACCAAGTGATTATTCCATCTTTGACACCTGCTAAATGATACTGATCTTGTTCAGTCTCTGAACCTCGCCTGGCTTCCACGGGTAGATGGAGTTTTCCTTCAGGACAGGCCTTTCAATCTGGTCCAACAAGGAAGCGTCGCAAATATCCCCTTCATCACTGGTATGTTTGCAGGGTGACGCTTAGATGTTTATTTTCTGAACACAATCTATCAAAATCAGGCGATTGTGATGACGAAGCAACGCTATTCTCGTTGTCAAACACCAACGTGACGTGAGCACACTCTACGCACTGTTCAAGCACAAACCACTGATTCATGATTACACAGTACAGACCAAGATACGAAGGACTATATGTCGCAGGTATATCTGGCGGGCGCTCCTAGCGATGAAATCGATCAGCTGCTGGATTTCTACCCCGATAATGTCACCCAAGGCTCACCCTTTGACACCGGCAACTTGAACGCTTTGACGCCTCAGTTCAAACGGCTAGCTGCCTTGCAGGGAGACATGGTGTTCCAAGCTCCACGCCGCTACTTTTTGCAAAATCGCTATGATAAACAGAATACGTGGGCATTTTGTAAGTCGACATACATCTCTCCGCTATCACTTCCCAATGCCGACGGCGAATAGTGAGCAAACGCCTCAAGAGTCTCCCCTACCTCGGATCAGTGAGTATTCCGCATCGCTGCCCATGTGATACCGCATGCCCATGATTTCTGTAGCTTCATGGTTCGGACCTGTTGAACGTCTACACAGGCGGGGACATGGTAGACTACCTGGTTCGTTTCGCCGCCAATCTCGATCCGAACGGAGCCACAGGGATCGGTTGGCCCAAGTACACCAACAGTTCCCCGCAGCTCATGACTTTCCAAGATGGCGCTGTTCCTTTGGCGATTACGCAGGATACCTTTCGTCAGCAAGGAATAGCGTACTTGATCCAACTATCACTGGAGTTTCCTCTTTGAGATCGTAGGTCGAGCACTCGCGTCGGTGAAAGAGTTTACCTGCGTTATATGTCTGTCAATGTAGTATAATTGTAGAGTTGACCCTAGAGACGACTCTTGAACAAGACCAATGTGGTTAGGTGGTTGATTGAGCACAAGTTCAGCCTGAGAATTTGATGAATGCAATGCCTCAGGAGAGTTGAGGAGGCTGTAAGCTGTAGGGCCTAGGCAGGCCTAGGCTCGCACCGCAATCGGCACTCTCGGGCCACGGGCCGCCTCATTCTGGCGCCTCCTCGCATTTTGACTCTTTCGTCCACTTCAACCATTATGTTTTCTCCCTCACCCAAGGCCCACTTTCACTACTGCCAACTGACCTGAAGATGACACCAATATTTGGCTGAAAGCAGAAGCTCTTGCCGACTAGGGACTCTGTAGTGTTGCCATCTATTGTGGACAAGTCCGGATCAATGACATGGAAACCTAAAAGTTCTGGCATAGTTTTATAATAGCTTTGTGATCATGTCATTTCTACTCTTTGATCGGGCATACCTTTTGCCCAATGAATAGAGATCATACCTTTTCACATCAACACATGCTTGGTTGCTGTAGGTTTCATGAGTCTCACTTGCAAGTCTCCTACAGTGTAGCCCAGACTAGGGTTCTGTGAGTAATTCACGGACAGTTGTTAACAAATGTTAATAACATTTGCCTCTCCAAGGAATTTCTAACATGAGTTAATAACAGATTAATAACAATTGTATATAAAGCATTATTAACATGTTAAGAACCGATTTATTTACATGTTAATAAAGAAAGTGGTGTTAATAACAAGAAGTCACCAGCTCCAGTCAATCTTGGAGCTGGGAATGGAAGGGGGAGCTTCAGGGGGGGGGGCTCGTGGCAGTGTACCTAGGAGTATCAGATAGCAGATCCACGAAGGCCTCCTCACGGATTGCGAACTCTTGCACGATATTGAGCACAGAAGCCTAGCATGGGGGTCCTCTCTGTTGGCCATCCGCGTTGTCGTCTGACTCTGCACTCCCAGACAAACTATTATTTTGCAGGGAAGACATAATTGTACAGCCACAACCTTCAATATTTCCACCTGGTCCTTGCCCAAATATGTACATTTCAATGTAAATTCAAATGCTGATCATTATATACAATTTCGAACATTATTAAAATCATTAACATCGATATTGTGCCCCCTTGGAGGGGGCCTGTTAGTAACAGTGTTAATAACAATGTTAATAACATAAGTTATTAACATGTTAGCAATTCAGGGATTACTCACAGAACCCTAGCCCAGACATCAATCATATTGGATCACCATAAGGTATGGGATTGCCAGTGTCATGCAGTAAGACACTTTGAAGTTGGAGGGTGGGAAATAGTCCGATTGACATACTGACCAATTCTAAATAATCATTACCTAGACTGACTCAGGTTTTCCTCCTTTCCCAGAGTAGCCTAGTTGTTTGTTGTTGAGGGTAATTTCTTTGTTTATATAGTGGTACCAGTTTAGCTTACTATACAAAGCTGTGTGCCTGTATCAGGAGGTGTATGGATCCTAAGAGAGTGATTACCAGCATGCTGTGAAGTATGTTTTTCCATTAAGGTGCTGTGTGTTAGGATTGGTAAAGTAGCATGAGAAATACTTTCCTGAATTCAGACTCTTTCCATTTGAAAGAATCTAGAGGATGAGTGTAATGAAGAGACAAGACCAGGATGCCAGACTAATAAGTGTTGAACTTGGTGTTTTCAGAGCTTCCTTACTAATATAGGTTCAGACATTTTCTAATTAGATTAGACTCAGAACTAACTCAACATCCCATTTGGACTAACACAGCTTTAGACTTATCAGAAGATACTTGGTGTTAACTTCAGAGACTTTAGTGATTAGTGAAGACTGCCTTACAAAGTAAAGATCACTTTATAGGGCAAGAGCAACTTCAACAACATGGGCAACAAACTGCTTGCATTTCAGGGCATATGCACTCCTCTTTTATGTGTTTCTGGAGAGGCTGTGCATAAGACCTGGATTTTGGTATTTACAAATATATCTAGGTGCTAAAGATTCTAGAATGAAGTGTCTGGTTAAACTAGAATAGATTAGGCTTTCCCAAATTCCTCCAGAGCATAGCATAGAATTATTCCAGATTTTCCATTAGTTGCCTGAGCAGCTCTAGATTTTCTAGCCTCTTAATTCCTTATCCATTTACTAAGCCATTACAAAGCCTCTCAGTATATTAGAAAGTGCACAAGGTTCATGTAATTCTATAAGAGTCTGAATTAGTTTAGCTCCACTCTAGTCCCTTTTAGGCTTCATTTGGTCTATCAAAATAGTACCAAGGCAGCTTTGTTAATAAATATAGATACTTTAAGTCCCTGATAAGTCAAGGTTTAATAAAAGACAGCTACATATATTCACAAATATAGATTAAATTGTCTATCCACATCCTAAGCATAAAACTAGAGCCAAGTGAAAATATGATGCTTGAAATGTCAAGACTATATGATTTTTAGGAAAAGAAATAAACAAGAAACACTGGACTAAAGAAATAAGAACTTAATGAATTATGAATGAATCATGAATGGATAAAGTATTCATGGCCTAGCAAATTGATGAAAGATCATGCCTCCCACCCTTACTAATGCTCACCTTGAAATCTCCAAGACATTGCCATTATATGCAGGAACACATTCATGGTCAGAGCTGAAGAGAGCTTGAATGTACTTACTGAATGTGTGATATATCACATAGCCAAGTGGGGGAGGAGAGTTGACATGGAAAGTAGATGTCACCATTATGAACTGCTGCTTATTGCCTGCTCCACCAAAGATAGCAATATGATTATCTCACTAGACTATTTTGGAAAAAATGATAGTTGTAAACTCATAGTTACCATCTGGCTTTTTTTCAATCACATCCACTGAAACCCCATTTTCTAACCAAATTCCCTCTTTTCTAGGAAGGCCACAGACTTCTATTGATACATCTGGAAAACCACCCCTTTGTATTAAGCTCTAATTAGTTCTATTTATGCATAATTAAGAACAATTAGGATTAGACATTTTTAGCTTACCCCCCCTCTAAACCTGTTCTAATTAGACATAATTTTCCTAAATTAGGAATTATTAGGATTCATTATAACTTGAAATTTCGGAAAAATCATAATAAATCAAGCATCACAGTTCTCATAGCCTTCTTATAAAGTCATGTCTATTAGAGCACTAGTTCAATACCTAAACACAGAATATACCTTATAACAAACTTGCCTTCTGCCAGAGTTGAACCAACAACCTCATGTATGCAAGCACCCAGGACAGATGCTTTAAGCCACTAAGCCATAAGGTCTAAGATATGAACTTGGTAATCTAAATAAGTAGACATAATATAGGCAATCTCAACATCTCTGATTTTATTTAACATTTATCTTTCCTCTATCTTATAAATAAATAGGTCAATAAATACCTAAAAAGTCAGGTCTTTCAAGATTTAGTTTAAACACCAGCTAAGAAAATAATAAACCAATGGAAAATCGATAATACACTTTATATAGGATAAAAATAAATTATGGCACTTATACAATTTGGACTGAGAATGTGTAAAACTATGATTGAGTGTAATATTCAATGGGACTCTACTAGTATAGACAATGCTACCTGAATTTACAAATTTGATCAAAAACATGATTATGAATAATCAAGATCCAATAAGAGAGAAGGGTTTTCCAAATAGCCACTAGTGAGGTAGAGGGTGGGGACAAGGGTATATGTATGGCATGCCTATATATAAATAAGCACAAGATTGTTGGAGGTGATCTTAATATGCTTAATGCATATATTTCCCATATGGCAGGCAAATATATGATTCTGGCACTACATACCAATATGACTGTCTTTTCCACAGCCTAATAGCTAGAAGAAAATACCAAGTTTGAGCATCTTCTGTATAACAAGGCAATGAACAATATAAATAGTGCTAAAAATTGTAATATCAATAGTGATGATGATTGTGTGCTGCACAAGACAGTATCAGCCACTATACTAATAGACAAGGTCTATAAGGCTGCATATAGCATATCCCTAAGTCTAACCCACATGTTGCATCCTATAATGACCAGTAGCAGGCATTGGCTAACAATGACAACTTTAATGATCTTGTGTGCAAGGACAAGGTACCTAGGTCTTCATAGCCTCTTGTGGCAGCTGCCAAGCTGCCAACAAAGTGGCTAGGGGCATCAATGCACATTTTTCTCTTTTTATATCCCTTATAAAAGCAGCTGGAAAGTCAGCAAAAGAGCTACAAGATAATGGTATAGGCATATATGAAGGAGAGTAATATGCTGAAATAGTATAGAATGTGCCACATCTTTACCTTCTCACTGATAGAGCAGTAGTACTTACTATTTCCTACTAATAATTAAAGACTTCTTAGTATAGAATTAGTGCTAATATCATGAAATTAGAAACCAATCCAATGCTCACAATGTGTTGCTCCCAATTAGGAAATTAGACACTTTTAGATACTATTAACACTTTTAGATACTTTTAGACACTATTAGATATAATCCAGAGCTAATACAAGGGGGTGTTTTTCTAGATGTACTCCTCTGGCTGAGACTAGTGGCAGTTGAATTCCATCTTTGGCAGAAGGGATTAACATCATTGGTAGCTTATTTAAAGGTGATGGAGCTAGAAGAGCATTGGAGGTAATATTGATGTGGCATGTGGATTTATAGGGAATAGTTATGAAAGAGCAAGGTGGTGGAAAGATAGTAGATACATTAAGCAAGTCAGGTCATAGACCCAATAGGACAATTATTAGATGGAAGTCCAGTGGTGGTGGCTATTGAAGCACTATATGGCAATGAAAATGAAACAATGATCAAGGGAATGTACCCTAGAGTGATGAGTGTATAAAGGTGTTATTGGACATGATATGAGGGAGTAATGCACAAATGTGACTACCAGTAGTTCTTGAATTATCTTGCTCTTCAATTTCCTATTCTTTTTTAATATTCCTTGTATTGGCCTAGACTTGACTTGCATAGTCATTTCTTCTTATGGAATATTCTTGGAAATTATCCTGCCAAGACACAAACTTGTTTGCATCATAACACTGGACCATATTATTCATGC